CTCAACGGGAGTTTTGGCATCTTGACGAGCGCATTCAAAGATGTCAAGCTTCTTCTTGCCGTCCAAGACACGCAGAGACTCATCCACGCTACGACGGATGTTCTCCTCAGAGCCATCCGGGACGAGCTCTCCCTTCTTCAGGCCACCCTTGATGCTGAGAACAACCTTCTCAGCATTCTCGGGGTACTTGGTGAAGTACTGGTTCAGCAGATGAAGGGAGTTGTGCTCCGGGGTGCCGTACAGCTCGCCACCGTTCCAGAAGTTGGCACCCAGCTCGAGAGCCGTGTTAAGGGTCTCAAAGCATGTCTCCTGGGATGGAGGCTGGGGGTTCCATGTCATTCCTGGTAATTTGGTCAGTATATGTCTTTTGACTGCTCTGCCGTGTCTGGAGGGGAAACGCACTCATGGTGCCGTACCCGGTAGGGCCGACTTCTTTTCCAACAAGCGAAGGCATTATAAGTTTAAGTTGGGATAAATATGACCCTTAGAGAGGAAAGTTGAGTATAGAATAGTTGAATGTTGTCGTGAGGGAAGTAAAAGGTGAAGGGGTTCCGGTTCTCTTTATGGATTTTGCATTTGCCCCGCCGAGTCAATTGAAGACGATCAACGGATGCTCAGGCTCCGCAAGCCTCGTAGTATTGTGGTAGTAATAGACTTTTATTCCAGTACCTTCTGCCTTGCTCGATCTCCGGGCATCTTTCGCCTATTTGCGTCCGGAGATGTGATCGGATATCGAGGACCGGAGTTAATGGAGATAACTGCAACGACTCCAAGTTTGACTCCCAGCTCATGATTTCATCATTACTTTCTATTTGAGGTGTTCAATGCCATCAATGAGCTCTTAAGGCCTTCAATGGATTCTTTTACACCTTTTAATCATGGACCGAGGATCAAAGCCCTCGATAGCCCTCTTTGTTATACGGCCATTACGCTTAAACGCCTTACCGTGTCATTGACGCCTTACAAGCTCATTGTAGCAATGAATGGCCTTTGTTAGTATTATTGAATAGTTACGTGCTAAATATGGTGCTATCTCGAAGTATTTAAGAACCTGGCTGTCCAGTGTTCATATCATCATCAGCACTATTATCACTCATCAATTAGAACAACCAAACTTGCAACACATATTCACATATTCAGATTACAAACCAATCACCATGGCGCCCCGCGAGCCCGCTGAAATGGCAAGATCTACCCAAAGAGGTATGTTTATCCAAGATGGGCATTTTGTCCGAGAAGACATTCATAATATGCAGACTGCGCAACCGATTTACTGGGTTACTGTGTTCATCCGCGGACGCACCGGAACTGATGATAAATTAATGAAACAGGTGGTCCGCTTAATTGAGCAACGCCAGTGTCTGGTGACCACTGAACCCCTTCATGCAACTTACAAAAGCTGTATATCACTCCCCGTCACCGGTGAATGGGACAGCGTCATCGCCGTGCAGCATGCAGAAAGCTATGCAAGAATGCTGTTGTTGGAGATCCAGTGTGATACTCTCTTCATCAACTGGGACTATTTCCATGAAGGAGTCACAACAGATGAGCATCCTGTCAAGGACAACATCGTGGTTCGTCTCCCCGCTATCCCGCACTATCGTCGTGAGGCTTAGATATTTCCCATACTTAAACGGAACCCCCAAATTTCTTTTTTTGCTTCATGTCAGGGACGGCATCATCATTCATCTCCTATTTCACCCGCGTCGAGAGGACTAAATAATACCATAGTTAAACGAAAAATCAAATCCCTCCCAAAAAAGTGGCAATTTTGAGAGAGTCTAATGATAAATAGTCAATTGTCCAGTGTAGGCTTTCAACTCTACGACGGGAAATGTAGAAAATTGCATATCAATAGTAGTACATCGTAAAGAAACAAACTCGACGCAATTCTTCTTTCGAAATTTCCATAAATCAATAAATCTTCATGACATCCTCCATATCTTCAAGAACCATCCCATTCTCATCACGTAAACCCATCCAGCCCAATCTCATCGGAGCTATTAATCATATTGCTAACCCGGTGCTTCACCTCCCTGTACATAGCATCAAAGAGACGTGGCAGGTCCTCGGAAGTAAGCTTCTTGTTGCTGCCCCATCCAGGCAAGATCTGAACATTCTCAAAGGGCTTATGGTTGCTCTCCTCGTGCTTCACGGTGTGCGTGAAGCCCGCCCCATTGCTGCCGTAGGTGGGTGTGTAGCTCACAGAGCTGGAGTAGGTAATGTGTGTGGTTGGTGTGGCCTTTTCATTCTCCGGTTTACCTTGCTCGGCTTGCATGCTCGCTGCGGTTGGCGTGCCGGTTGGTGTTGCCTTTGGCTCATCCAGGCCTAACCCTTTCAAGAGGTCGTGGACGTATCCTTCAGTATCGGGGATCAGTCGCTGGGATTTCGTTAGTTGGTTTTTCCGGGAGAAAGGTATGGCTCTGGCAAGTGACTCACAGGAGATCGGGATTCAACCTTAGTCGGCTGCTCTGCCTCCATTTCTTGGTTTGTTGCACGGACTGGGGCGGCATTGACAGTTGATACTGCTAGCAGTGCTAGAACAGCAACAGTGAGCCATGATGGCCTTGAGATAATTTGCGACATGTGTATTTGAATCGATATTGTGTGTGTGTGTTGTAGATTGGTATAGGCTTGGGAACGGGATACCTCTAATAACGGCGAAGACGTCTATTCGCGAGCGTCACGACAGTCACAGCAAGATTCCAGGTGCCAGTGGGCGATCAGTGACCACAGATACTTCATATACAGTAGGTCGTTAGTGCGAAATTAGCGAAATACCGCCTGTCGTAGTTTGGAATGATGTTCCGCAGAACTCAAATGCCGACGTTTACATGTTACTCGATTCGTTTTCCTCTACTGTTCTCGCAGATCAATTCAGTCTTTTTTTTTAGACAATCCATACGGCTTCCTAACATTTACTACTATAATTTAATTCATTAAAATGGCTTTCCATTCAGCAACGGGGCCATTCGTGGATCTAGGGATAACTCTGTGCCCATGTTAACCATTAAAAATGACACATAGCATTCCAGGCACTGCTCTCCTGCGAATCAAGTACGCCTGGTTGAATCATAATGATAACATAAAGGAAATATGATTGGCATAGTCTTAACCAGAGTTGACCGGAATGAGGGAGTGGTACTGTCTCATGCTTGCATGCTTCTGTGTTAAGATGTTTCCCATGCAACTTCTAACAAATCAAACCTTGCGATTGACTGAAAGCCTTACCATAAATAGAAACAAATTGAGTTTGAAGTAAGTCTTCATAGGCCTGGTCACATCACATATCTATCTACATAGTCTCGGTAAAGAATCACGCTAAAACCAAAGATGTACTAGAAACTATCAGTCACCTAAACACCATCACCGAACTTGTAAAAGTTCATCCATCGCTGCAAAAATAGTTAGCCACTGGCTTCAATTTCAGGGACAATGAAACTAACCTTATCATAAGGCTTGGACGAGTCACAGAACCGTAGATCGGTAGCAAGACGGATGACGTTGTCCGGGTCGTTGTTAATAGTCGACGCATGGATCTACACCTTGTTAATTAAAACATTCACGTTAATCAAAAGAAAGGGTCGTTTACCATATGAGGCTTGTGCAGCACCACATCTCCAGCCTCGTATGCCGACACCAACCAGCGACGGCCATTTTCCCGAGCAAATTCACTTGGGAACTCGGATAGTAGACCCGTTGCCATCATGTTTGTGTTGAAAGCGGATTTGGCTTCTTCGTCTGTCAGACCAGTCTCCTTCGCCTTGGCATAGAAGGCCTCTTCCAACCCGAGTCCGACTTTGTCACCTAAACCGTAAACTCAATCAGTATTCATGATTCGAAGAAAATAAGAACAAGGTAGAGAATAGACGTACCATCTTCCAGGTAAATCAGACCACCACCATTAAGCTTGATATCACCCATTGGAACCCAAGCAGTAATACTAGTCGGATCTCCGTATCTCAGGAAGATCTGATCGTAGTGCACGCCAATAGGCTTCGAACCAGGAATATTGTTCCGTAGCAACGTACGGCGCAGATTCAACGTATTCTTCCCCCAGTCCGAAAACTTCGCGACAAAATCATACAGCGCCGGGTGGTTGCAGAATTTCTCGGCGTACCAGTCCTGGTAGTGTGCATCGAGAGCGAGATCAACAAAAGCCGCTGCCCGGTCACCACCAGGCCTGCCATTACCGCCAATGTGACCGGCGCCAATACCAGGATAGTCTAGGTGGTTTTTGGCTGGATCGAAGATACCCTTTACCGGTTCTGTGCCGGGCTTCAGGACGCCTGTTGATTGCAAGGAAGAGAAGTATGATTCGCGGGCATCGAGGACATCCTGTCGAGGGAGGACTTGCTTGAGGAAGAGATAGCCGTCTTCGTCGTATCTTTTGCGGAGTTCCTCTAGGGGGAGTGTTGGCTCTGAAGGGCGGAGGAGGGCTGCATTCTCGGAGGTCAAGGGGCCGTCGTTGACGGCGATGTTGTCTGCTTGGAGGCCGACCATTTTGGATGCGATATTGAACGTTGCTATAAAGAGTTGAATTGAAAAAAGACCTCTGCAAGCTGGGACAATGCCGCTTCTTTATAACATTGCTGCTTCCTAGTTCCATGGAGGGGTATGGATTTCAACTGGAGAAGTGGCCAACCACAAAGCATATATATCAAGGCTGACCCCGATTCCCCGCATTTATGTGTAAGTTGGCTTGCATGACTTGATTGAATGACTGCATAGATGAGGAGGGATGGAGGCACAGCAGTAAAGAGTAACATTTCCCGCAGTGATGTACAGATTGGCTGCCTTTTTGAGCCCTTTCGACGCCTTGTGGGGAAGCTACTGCTGATCCACTGCGGGGAATATTTCTCCTTTTGCTTAACTACTCCGTTCATTTACATGTCCCTTCGGCCTTTAAGTTATATTGGATATTTGTAGATCCGGACATCCACATGTCGGATTTTATTCTATCTGTGTACCTATATATCGCATCCTCCGAGCATATTTCCTCAAGCTGCATCCTCCTTCCAATCACTCAAATTCCACGATTCCACCCCATCCCCAATAGTCAACCCCAGCGTCGTGAACACAATCTGCTCATACAACACCGAACCAGCAGCTCTCGCACGAGCATGCCACGGTCCCTGGCCACCGAGTCTAGCATCATCCCGATTTCGCCAAATACCTAAACAAACGTATAAGTCCGAGCCACGATTTGCTAACACCCACCCAAGCAAACAAAGAAACAGTGGGTGAAAACGAAAAAGGAACAATACTCACAAGTAGCCAAATTCCTCTCCAGCCCATCCTTGGCCCCAAACCAATACTTCAACAACCCCCCACTAGCCATAGCCTCGCGATGCGAATGCGCATCAAGCGCATACAAATAATCCGAATCAACATCCGGCAACAAAACAGACCGGAAAATAACAACATAATAAGTACGCCTCTTCCACGTATGATCCTCCGCTTCAGAAAACGCCCTCAACAACTCGAATACTTCTGTCCAGTTGAACGATTCCGTATATCCAGCCGTGGCATAGTCGGCGCGCGTGGGTTTGAGATATGTCAATGCCAATGCGAAGAGTCTGTCTTGTCTTTCCAGTGCTGAGATATCCAGTAGATGGGCGGCGCTGTTATATGGTGATGCAATGAGGTGGGTATCTGTTTCTTGGGATCGTTGCTGAGGTTGTAATTGCTGTGCTGCGGCTGCTTTGAAGCGGTGGGCATCGAAGTCGGTGGTTACATGGCTGTGATGGAGGACTCGGGTTAGGGTTGAGGGTTTCAGGGATTTTGGTTCTTTGGGTTTGGTTTCGGCGATTGTGATGGTAGTGTTGCTGGTGGTTGGGGCGATGTTTAACGTCATGCTTTGGGTTCGCTGATTGCGACTCGTCGGGGATAGTAAACGAGGGGTTATTTATGTATATTTCCTTTGGAGCAGATTACTCAATTGCAAGTAATTTGTACGAATTCAGCCGTTAAATGATGCGATATACAATTAAAGGGTCCCTTTGAATGACCCCGTAATATATACCTTCCGCCATTGTCTTGTACCACATTCCGCGGATATTGCGAGATCATACAGTTGCAGCAGCTGCTTAAGCACGCCATCTGGTCCACTATAAGGCGATTTCGGGATTCAGTTTCTCAGAATCCGAGAACTTGAGACAAAATCCCGCCCACACATCGAATATTCTAAAACGTACACGTGTTGTCGCTGAGCCCTAAAACCGTTGTCGGGGTTGTGGATAGGGACCGTCAGAGGTGGGGTGCAATTCTTAATCCGACACTGTGTCCTATCAAGAATTATTTATTCTCACGCGAGTATAGATCGAGTTCAAAATATAAATTCGAATTTGTGATTTTAGATTTGGGCTGTCTAATGTACAAAGGGGTTGGTATCACGTAAATCATAGAAGCTCATGCCTCCTGATCTTCCCTCCTGAACGCCGTCAAATGCAAGGATACGGTAGTAATGCACTCTACCGCTTGGGAGGCGGACCCATCTTGCCCTCGCCCGTGTCGACCTTCTTCTTGGGCGGAAGGGCCGGCACCTTGAAGCCACCGTTTTCTCCACCCTGCGCGTTGCCATTGCCCTGGTTCGGGGCCTGGGTGAAAGTTCCAGACTTGAACCAGCGGTTTTCCTCGGCCTCGCGCTTGCGCTTCAGCTCTGCCTGCACCTTGGGATCCACCAGCTCAAGGCCCTGGACGGGTGTGAATGCAATGGTACTGGACGTACCCGCTGTAGACGATCCGACACCCGATGCGCGGAGACCACGGGCTTGCAGAACACTGGCTGTGCCGCTTGCGCCTTGGCCGAAACCGCGTAGCGATGAAGCGGTTCCGCTGGCGGGGGTGGACGTACCCCAGCCTTTGTTGTTCTTGCTGAGTCGGGCACGAGTGCGTTGGTCGATCTGTGTCGCGCGGATACGGCCATCGTTCTGTTGGCCGAGCATACCTAGACCAACGGTTCCGGAACCTGTGCCGTATCCCACCTCCGATTCCTCCTTGCCAAATGCAACGCGGTTCTGCGCCTTGCGGAGCTCGGTCATGGCGACGGCCTCCTTGGCCTTGCGGGCACGCCAACCACCACGCTTTCTGGAAGGCTTGTCATCGGGCGCGGGGAGAGCCTTTGTACCGGAGTTTGGTGCAGCCTCAGTCAGCTTCTCTAACCGTGCGTAGCATTGTTGTTTTAAGTCTTCGCCGAGAGATCCATCCTTGGCGTAGTTGGAGACATCGGCACGAGTAGCGAGAACCATCTTGGCTGACACAATCCGGATTCCTTGTTTCTTAAGGTCGTTGGGAACCTCCTGGAGAAGCTCAGAGTCGTAGAGGAATCCTTGGGATCTGACACCGATGTTGGTCGCAAAGCCTAGTCCCTCCTGTCTCCGTGAACCTTGTGCGCCCAAATTGCATGCTGGAATCTTCGCTAGTTCCAGTAGGCCTCCAGTTTGGTTGAGGAACTGGGCAGCGGTTTCAGGTCCAATAAGTGCTGCCAGGTTAGGCGCAATCTGGTTCATGCGAGACTGAATACTTTCTGTGAGCGCCTTGCGCTCTCTATCAAGCTTCAAAATTCTCTCGCATGTATCAAGAACCTGCTTGAGCTCGGACTCTGTCATCTCTCGGCCGCGGGTGGTCGTTCCCTCCACCGCAACCACCATCAAGGACGGTCCATCCAGGACGGACTTGAGTGACGCGCCAACCATATTGTCCGATGTGTTTGACAGCGCCTTAATGTCATTAAGAGGGCCATTCTGGAGAATCGCAACCGTTTTGGCGTACTTGATGGGAGATGTGACGAGCGTTTCGAGCTCGGGGAACCGGATAGAGTAGTGATCGCGCAGAACTTTGTGTAGGCGGTTCAGTTCATCGGCGGTGGAAATGGAGCGGTCAAAGTCGTTGGTGGCCCCTGGGGCTTCTTGGGTCTCTTCTTCCTGCTCGGGCTCTAGGTCTTCGTTTTCCTCGCCCGCATCGAATTCCTCATCTGACTCGAAGTCGCGCAACAGTTCTTCGGCAGTCGACATAGTGGCAGGTCAGATAGTTCTTACTATCTGGATTCGCGCAAAGCAAAGCGTGTGTAGATGGCCACAGGACCTTGAGAAAGTTGAGGAGAGCAATGTTCCAGAATGGAAGGATGGAAAAGCGCTTAGTCAGGGAGAGCTGCGCGGGTGGCGACAGCGACCAACTCTGCAGTTCTGCGATTTCATCGCGGATTCTCAGAGTTGCAGACCAAGCTACTCTCGTCAGTGACTTGGGCGTGAGACACTTCGCGAATTAGCTCCGGGATAACTGGTCGCGCAATTTTGGTGAAGCTTCTTTCGTCTTTCAATTTTCTCTCACATCTTGCACTCGTCGCAAATTTATCGTACGGGACCTTCACTCCACACCTCGACCGCAGACCAATACTTTGATATCAGCACCGGTTGATACGAACCCATCACAATGGAGGCATCCCGTGGCCCTCCCCGGGTCAAGAACAAGGCCGCCGCGCCGATCCAGATCTCTGCGGAGCAGTTGCTTCGCGAGGCTGTGGACCGGCAGGAGCCTGGCCTGGAAGCACCGACACAGCGCTTTGCCGACCTTGAAGAACTTCACGAGTACCAGGGTCGGAAGAGAAAGGACTTTGAGGACTATGTGCGGCGTAACCGTATTAACATGAACAACTGGATGCGCTATGCCGCCTGGGAACTCGAACAGAAGGAATTCCGTCGGGCACGCTCAATCTTCGAGCGCGCGCTGGACGTCGACTCGACCTCCGTGGTACTATGGATCCGTTACATCGAAGCCGAGATGAAGACCCGAAACATCAACCACGCCCGAAATCTTCTCGACCGTGCCGTGACCATCTTGCCCCGTATCGACAAGCTGTGGTACAAGTATGTCTACATGGAGGAGACCCTGGGCAACATTCCTGGTACCCGCCAGGTCTTTGAGAGGTGGATGTCGTGGGAGCCGGATGAGGGCGCCTGGAGCGCATACATCAAGCTGGAAAAGCGGTACGGTGAATTCGAACGAGCGCGCGGCGTCTTCCAGCGCTTCACTGTTGTTCATCCCGAACCGCGAAACTGGATTAAATGGGCTCGTTTTGAGGAAGAGTATGGAACTAGTGATTTGGTTCGTGAGGTTTATGGCTTGGCAATTGAGACGCTCGGCGAGGATTTCATGGACGAGAAGCTCTTTAGCGCATATGCCAAATTCGAGGCCAAGCTAAAGGAGTATGAGCGTGCACGCGCTATCTACAAGTACGCCTTAGACCGACTCCCCCGGTCCAAGTCTATGGCCCTTCACAAGGCCTACACAACCTTCGAGAAGCAATATGGTGATCGCGAGGGCGTGGAAGATGTGATTCTTTCAAAGCGCAGGGTGCAGTATGAGGAGCAGCTTAAGGAGAACCCTCGCAACTATGATATCTGGTTCGACTTTGCACGCCTGGAGGAGACCTCGGGTGACCCGGAGCGGGTGCGGGACATCTATGAACGGGCCATTGCACAGATTCCTCCCTCACAAGAGAAGAGGCACTGGCGCCGTTATATCTACCTCTGGATCTTCTACGCTGTTTGGGAAGAAATGGAGGCGAAAGAAGTGGACCGCGCCCGGCAAATTTATCAGGAATGTCTCCGGTTGATTCCACACAAAAAGTTCACTTTTGCCAAGATTTGGCTCATGAAGGCGCAGTTTGAGATCCGACAGATGGAGTTACAAGCTGCACGGAAAACACTAGGCCAAGCCATTGGTATGTGTCCGAAGGACAAGTTGTTCCGTGGTTATATCAACCTTGAACGCCAATTGTTCGAGTTCGTGCGGTGCCGGACCTTGTACGAGAAGCAAATCGAATGGAACTCTTCCAACAGTCAGTCCTGGATGCAGTTCGCAGAATTGGAACGAGGTCTGGATGATTTGGAGCGGGCAAGGGCTATCTACGAGCTAGGCATCGATCAGCCTACCCTCGATATGCCCGAGCTTGTGTGGAAGGCCTATATCGACTTTGAAGAATACGAAGGCGAGTATGACCGAGTCCGCCACTTGTACGAGCGTCTGCTCCAGAAGACCGATCACGTCAAAGTCTGGATCAACTACGCCCGGTTCGAGGTCAACGTGCCGGAGGACGAAGAGGAAGAAGAGGAGGAGGAGGAGGAGGAAAAGCCGATCAGCGAAGAAGCGAAGACGCGGGCTCGTGCAGTCTTCACCCGGGCACACAAGGTATTCAAGGACAAGGAGCTCAAGGAAGAGGTACGTCATTTCCATCACTCACTCATCATGATCGATGCTAACTTATTCCTAGCGCGTGGAACTTCTCAATGCTTGGCGTTCATTCGAAAACACACACGGATCGCCCGAGGATATCGAGAAGATCGAAAAACAGATGCCCAGACGTGTCAAGAAGCGCCGCAAGTTGGAGGACGACCGATACGAGGAGTACATGGACTATGTATTCCCCGCAGACGACCAATCCGCTGCCAACCTTTCCCGCCTGCTCCAAAAGGCACACCAATGGAAGCAAGCACAGTCGTGAAGCGCGTGATAGATTTTCTTTTGCTTTCGAGATCCCCAATCGTGTCCATGCAACCTCTCCTGCAAGTCCACGGTCACGAAGACGGACTTTTCTTCCATGTGTTATAGTAAGCAGACCAAATACCATTACAATCTGCATGTCATCAAAACAGGTTGGTGTCCCATATTTCACTCCCACCAGCCCGCATATCTATACGCCAATTATTCAACTCCGTTCAGCTCGGTGTAATATGTAGTGCTCTAGAAATAGACCAGCCCCATGGATCTCCCCATATCTGTCTCATATCTACAGATTGCCACTCATCCTAATCTCTCATCCAATCCTGTCGTGCGACGGAACCTGCACCTCCCACTGGCGATCATTGTGCAGCGGGCTGTGTATTGCTGAAGCGTTGCACGAGGAAGGTGGTACCTGCATCGGTTGGGTTAAGAACTTGGCTCAATAAATGCAGCTGTATGTTTCTTTCTTCTGTGCGAGATGGTCTGCAGCCACGAAGTTGCCATTCGTTCATGTTTATGTTCAGGTCGATCTGTTTCTTCAGTGGGTGCCGAGATATATATTCCCAGGTGTGATATACTACATTTTGCCAAAGACCGCGTTAGCTTAATTGACGTCATGGCCAATCAGCATGGCTAGCTGGTAGTCTTCCATCACATATAGCTAGTCCCTGTAGATCATTGTATAAAACCAGTTATGCTGAGGAGACCGCTATATCCGGTCCCACGAGGGCCAAGACTTGGACGAACCAGGCACCGGATTTGCATGCCATCTACGTACATGTATCTATGGATGTCGGAGATTATTCGTTACAGAGATCAACTCGAATACTGTCTCATGACTATAGAGAGCGTATCTACTGGGCAATGTCTGTAGTGTAGCGCTAAACAGACGAACCTGAGAGGAAAGCACGAGCCAAGCGTGCCCGTGAGGATCCATGGCACCAGCAAACTCAACCACGGACACGGGAAGGGGAACCTTGGACGCAGTTTTGTTTATTGTGTCCGAGCCCCTTCCCTCTTGCCAGGGCTGTCGTTTGTTCCTTGCTGTTTGTCTCAGATGTATAGAATCGGACAGGGGGCTCAAGTCCCTGGTCCCACCCTCCTCTCACTCTTGGCTTCGAAACACCTGTCGGATAGCTTCAATTGGGCTATACGGGGTGACTGGCAGTGCGCAAATAGCACAAATAGCAATCACAGAAAATACAAGAAATAAACCCGAATATGAGAAGTAGACACAGACCCCCGAAAACTAGTCCAATTATTGATGGAGATTGAGGTGACGAAATCTTTTCCCCTTAAGGGATGGCGTCCTTCCAGTCCGCTAACCTTCTCCGTTAGGGGGTTGACTTCTCTCTCCCTGTCTCAATCTCTCCAGGGCTCTCTTTTCCTGTCTTGATTCCTCGTGTGCTGTGCACTCGTTTGATAGTGCCGGTCTCACAGCCATTCTTTCGTTTCTCACCAACCTCGTTCGTTTGCTCCTTTTTTTCCCGCACTATCGCTTTATCGCCTCGACTGGTTCGCCCGACGTCAGACCCTCTGGAATTACCTTTGATCATTTTTATCCGACACGTCCCGACGCGCCACAGTTGCAAACCCCATTGCTATCTCTGAAGCATTTATCCCAGAAGCACTGCTCTAGTGGTGTCGTACGAGTCGCCGAGACATCCGATAAGCGATCCACAGAGAACTCGGAACCACGATTACACCCCGGAGAACAAAAACACACCATTAAGATTGCCGATATCGCGACACTTTACTCCATTGCAGCTCGCAGATTGGCGTCATTTACTCTACCACTGTCGAGATGAGATAGTGCTCTGGCCGCACTTTCATTCTACAGTCTTTGGATCTTTGGCTGGCCACCCGCTCTCGTTTCTGGTCTGGTATCTACAGCTTGTGGTGATTCAAAATGACTGTCCCCAAACCCCAAGTCACCCTCGAGGGCGATTGCTCCACCATCCACAGCAACACCCTCTATGTCTTCTCACGTGGCAACTTCCTATCAATACCGCTCCGAGAGAACGGAACCTGGACCGAACTGCCAAAAGGAACATCGGTTAATGGCCCCGCTTGTGTACAGGGTGGTTCCAAGGGCGATGAGGCGTTCTATGTGGTCGGCGGGACCGGCCCTGCTGGTTACGATGGCCTGCAACAGTTTTCGTTCAAGGACCAGAAATGGCAAAACTTGACAATGTCCTCGCAGGTGATGGCTAACCGAACTGGCCACGGTGCCGGGTACATTGCCTCGTCATCCCAGATCCTCGTCTACGCAGGTATGACAGATGGAAGCACTGTCAGCTCTCAATCGACCTTGCTTATTTCAACAACTTCCCCATACGACGTGACCTCTGGTCTTGATCAGGGTGCTCCCGCTTTGTATGAGCCCATTCTTTTGCCCTGGAGTGATTCTAAAATCGCCATGATTGGAGGCTCTGCCACCAACACGGCTGTTCACATCTATGACGCTGAAGACAGCAAAGGCTGGACTCTCTCGGAGGCGACTCTTCCCTCTGCAATTCCAACTAACTCTCGATGTACCCTTGTTTCCGACTCTGAGAAAAACATCGTTCTCGAGGAGTTTACCATGAACACTTCGCCCAATAGTGTTTCTAGCTACCTACTCAGCTCCAAGGGAAAGCTGCAGAGCCCAGCCACTACAATTGGAAAGAGGAGTCTGACGGATTCTTCTTACAACAACACGTTAGCTCCCTCCAACAGCTGGTCAAATTTTGCTCTCGCCCAGGGAGAAAATATGGTTGTTCTCTCCAACGGTGGGGGTCAGGATTCATTAGCGATCTTCAACCAGACCTCGAATGGTTGGGTGAATGCGACGGAATTGTTCTATGGAAGCGGAGATCAGAATGTTCTCAAGCCATCCACTACGTCGTCAATCACGTCGTCTACCCCGACAGCTACTTCAACCACTTCGACATCAACCTCCGCGACGGCCACTCCCTCATCCACTTCTGCCGCAGCTGCCGGTGGCGGTTTGAGTGATCACGCTAAAACTATACTTGGTGCAACTCTTGGAAGCGTCCTCGGATTCGGCTTGATCTTGCTTATCCTTCTTTTCCTGATTCGACGCGAAAAGCAAAAGAAACAGCATCAGTCCGGCAAAGCTGGTGGCGACAGCAAAGACCGACTCAGCTTCCAGGATCAGGGCATAGAACCCCTGACCGAAGGCGCCTATCCCATGGCAAGGTCTCCCGTTCCAGTCGCCGCCGCTTCGACAGACTCACTGGCTATTATGACCGGAAGGTACAACGGAGAGAAATCTCTCAAGCCACCCAATGCGACTGGTTACGGACTGTCTCATCCCCGCAAGAGCAGCCCGCTCTCCACGATTCCCTCCAGCGATGCCATTGGCGCATCAAGTGTCAACACTGATGAAACGGAAGGAGGTACAGACCCCAGCCGTGGCAACCAGCCTGGCGATCGCAGCACGGACGAAGGATGGGGCAAGTACTTTGAAGATAACACCACCACCACCAACCTGGCTGGAATGGCGTCTGATCGCTCGACCATGAGTTCCGTCTACACCAAGTCAGACTACCGCGGAAGCGCCTGGCCAATGTCAAACCTGACACCATTGAACCTGGGATTCCTCGACCAACCCAAGCCCTTGGGCCGTGTCATGAGCGCCAGCCCAACCACAGAAAACACCTCCGAAATAGGCGGCCGAAGCCTTGTCATTCCAGAGAGCCAGTCGGCACGAATCTCCTCTGCAGACTCAATCAGTATTGCCTCAGAAAGTGACCGGGACGAGAATTGGCAAGGTGCCGGCCACTCTAGCTGGCTGGGACGACCTAGCAGCAGCAACTACAGCAACAGCTTCTACAACTCGAGCACGCGCGATTTGCCCGGTACCTCGTCATACACAGGCCTTGTCGATAAGACAAGGAATTCAAAAGTACGGAGATCCAGCGCGATCATCCCAGAGGATATGGACGAGCTGCCGATGCAAGGGCGGAGTAACAACGTCAATTCAGATATGAGCTGGCTCAATCTTCAAGCTGATCGTTGATACTTCTCCCAATTCATCCTACAGTCATTCGGAGACAATCTCTCCAACTCTCACATTCCCTCTTTTCTACCACAATACCTCACCTCGCCAGGTTCCTCTGTGCATATCTCCTACCTCTCTCCATTCCTTTGATGGCGTCTCCATGGCTATCGGTGTCTTTGCAAAAGTTTCTTTTCCGTTGCATTTGAAGTGCTGCATTTTCGTCGCATCTAGAATTCTCGTCTTGTGTCTGTGTGTATGAGCGATTCATTAGCGTTATACCACAGTTCCTGTTCTGCGTCTCCGTGTTGGTTCACCTGTTTAGCTCCGAAATGGGCGTTGCATTGTTCTGTACATATCTGGCTCTATTAGGTCCCTGTTGAAATCCATCGCATGCTCCAGCCATGCAGTATATTCACATATGTTCAATTGCAGCATATTAAGGATTACTTCTATAGTCCCGTATAGTCATACCATCGTACCAATCCCCGTCAATAAAACCTCGCCAAAAACGAGTTCCTCTTCGACACCCTCCGGAACTCATCCACAGCAGGACTCAAGACCTTGCCCCCATCATCAACCTCCATCTGTTCAAGCCTCCCCTCAGCGCCAAGATACGGCGTATTCCCCTCCATCTTACTCCGAATATAATAATGCTCATCCTCCTCCTCCATCCCAATAAACCACCTCTCCTTAAGCTGCTTCCCCCATGGCCCACACCCACAAGCACCCTTCAACTGCTCCGTCTGCGGACTATTAACAGCCAAAGCAAACAAATTCTGCGGCTCCGTAAAATCAGTAATCTGCCGGCCCCGGGCCTCAAATATCACAAAGCCCAAACAAACAGCACTCGTCAAAAACGCAAACACCAAAATAACATAGAAAACCCCCTGCCACCGCTCCGTCCAGCCAGAAGCGTACCCAACAGCCTGAACCTCCCCATCAAAAAACTGATAAACACCCTCATCCAACACATTCCCATTATCAGCACTATAATTCCACCCCTGCACAAACGGCGCATCCTGCGAACTGAGAATCAACGTACTCCCAGCCATAACAGCCAACCCCTCCCCGATAGAAGGCATACGCGGATCAAGCGAGAAGCTTTCTTCCTCAACATCATACTTTGGCATCATCTGCATAAGCAGTCGGGCATTACTAGCCTCGCCGTCCGAAACACCCGCACCGAGACTCAACGCCTTCGCCCACTCCGACACAACATTTTTATAATCGGCTTCCCAAAAACCCTCTATAAACCCGCGGCTTGCACGTCGGCGGTCATATTGCAGTTTATTATTGCCTTGCTCGCATATCGCGCTGAGGAATGCCCCGCTGGATGCCGCGTTATAGCGCGTCGAACAGACGCCTGTTAGTTTAGCGCGGAGAGCGCAGAGCACGTACGGCGGGTTTGTCGTATTCGGTGGCGATGCACCGAGGAGGTAGATGGAATTTGCGGGCCAGAGACCTGTCGTGTTGAGGATTGTGTTGTAGGGTTTAGGGTATTTGCCGAAGATTGGTGGGCGTTGGCCGTATTCCGGGCCGAATTCGAAGAGCGTGTCGACGACTGTTCTGTTGAGCCAGGATGGGGTGCGGGGGATGTCGTCTGGAGGTTGGACGCTCCAGGATGTTGGGTTGAACTTGTCGCCGCCGGGCCAGGAGGCGTAGACTAGCGGTTCAAGTTCTTTTTTGGTCATTCCTGCGCAGAGGACGTTTATTGCTGGGGAGGGGACGGAGGCGTCTAGGGTGTATCTTCCTTCGCCGGATGCTGAGGCTGAATTGGGCTGTTTTATTTTGTTTAGGGGGTTCATTGCTACTGCTGTGATACCGCCGTGGGGCATTGCCATTGTTATGTTGTTGACCATTCTTTTGTGTTTCTTGGAGAGGATTGTTATGTTTTGGATTTGGATCCAGCTGCCTGTTACTGTTGTATTGTCCCAGAGGGAGCCAGTTGGTTCTGGGCGGTTGTGGAGGTTTGTTGAGGTTGCGCTGTTGTTCGCGACTAGGGAGCTCCATTTTGTTATCCATTGTTGGTAGTTGTGATAGGCGTGGCCGACGTGTTCAATTTGGAGACATGTGTTGTTGCGGTCGTCCGGGTCCATTGCGTTTGTGACTGGAGTTTCACAGTTGGAGGCGAGGTAATACGGGTTACCGAAGCTGGCGGATACTTTGCCTTGAAGGACCTTTGGTTCGACGGGACTGGGGGAGAGTTTGGGTGCGACTTTTATAAGTTAGTGTTCCGTGGTTTATTGCTGTGAGAGAAGAAGTATACCTAACGCTTGCGCGGCGGTACCGTATAGCATCGCCACGAATGTTGCGACAAGCGCAATAGCACCGAGGAAAGTAAGCGCAGAATACCGCAGCGTCTCCCAATGGACAATCATCGAGCCCGGCTGCATGATCCAGGCCCTCATATTCATATCGGAGATACTAATTCCTCGAGAATCGGTCATCAAAGCCCGCCGGCTAAGCACCTGTCCCAAAAACGCCACACAAACGGTGACATAGGCCAACTCAATTGTCTTTGCAAAGAACGCGCTCAACAAATTAGCCGTAGACGGCACCATGGGCCCCTCACTGGAGATACCATTCCATCGAGGCTTTCGAAGCGCAATAGCGAGGTAAATCCCCGAAAAGATAGTAGCATAAAGAGCCAGCACAAAGATCGTCAAAGGGATCCACGAAAGCCGTTTCTGTAGCACCGTCGCGCGATTAGGGCATCTCGTGGGAGAATGCGGAGACAGCGGAGCCTTAGGAATAGAGCGAGGCGTGGTCGTCGCTGAACTATCCATTGAAGCGCGCTCATAATGAGGAATAGTATCTCCGGAATGATTGGAAATACCCAACCCGACATCGTGGACCACATCCTCGGACCGGCGCTCGTGCGCATGGTAAACATAGTCCTGCTCGAAGGATAAGCGACCGAGCGGACCCCAGGACCGCTGCGGTGGATTGTCCAGCGAGTCCCCTGAAAGCAGCGAATGCTGCGACTCGCGCGACTCCGCCATTGTGAGGTGGAAAGAACACAGATGGGAGAGCGGAGTCGAGAGCCGGGACCCTGGATCTTAACGGAAAGCCATAAGTAGCGCGGGTAGGAGGAGTTATAGGGTGCAGTCGTCTGTTAGCTTTCCTGCGGCTGAACCGTATTCGTTGGGGGCCAAATGGGCAGTGCGGACGTTAGCTGCGTCTATAGTCTGTTTGTGGAGAGCAGTGGCTGTGCTGATTGGTGACTTAGGGGTGGCCTACATATGAACCGTCAGGGTTCTTATATTTGACGCACTTGCATTAGGTCTGGGCCTTTCTCGTAGTCCAATGTTATTTAACCCTTCCCGCGGTAAGCTGTGTGTTCCCGAACCTATACAACTCGGAAGTTAGTGAGCTTCTGTCTTTCAGCCCTAAATTTCTCATTATTAAGGACAGAGCATGATGTCCTTAAATATAATAATCCACGTTGTATAAGAGGGCTAAATCAATATAAAATCAAGAAAGTATTAGCTTAGAGACACCGTATACTCATTGAAAGTACTTGTCTTTGCTTGATAAATGAGCCTCAAGTATATCCAACCAAATCTAATCCAAAGAAAGAAGAACCGCAGAAGATTCAGGAACCTCAACAGTCAGTACACCATCCCGAACCCTAGCCACCTCCTCCAAAGCATGCACAGACACGGGCATCCCCCGACACAATGCATAATATAGGAAATCCCCCCGAAAGTTAATATTAACAAGCACGTCACTACCCGGACCAATCAAACGCTCCACCTTAGCGCTGCGATGACGTGCAGGCACATGGAAGCTATAAGCACTATTTGGACGAGTTCCCGCCCTAGTCTGGTTAAAAGCCCGCAAATTCATCACGGCCAGTTTAGTCAATCGCTTTCCATCATAGATAGCATACGCCGAATTGGTATCTTCTCCCAGGGGAATATTCACAATGCGAGTATTGTCCGATTTACCAAGGGCAATGTTAAAAGGACCCCCTCTCCACCTGCCTAAGCCTATTAGGGAAGGCGTAGTATGTGTATTTCACGTTGTCTCTTTTTAGTATAGTGACATAGCAAATGTTTTAACACCATTGGACAGACCGTTTTTTAGACCGTTTTTTAGACCCCCTATCGCAAACCGAAGAGCAAGTCTATATCATCTTACTTTCTAAACGTTTTTGCTTTAGTAGGGCTTTATAGAAGACAAGATTCAACCTGGGCCTACATTGAGAGCAATAGCTCCGTAGAGGAACGAGGAATAAACATTGGACGTAGTTAAGTGCATTGTTCAATTTGATCTATGAGAAATTTGCAAGACCGCGAAATAGACGAAAAAGTATTAGGAACAACATGGTCTTTATAGCCACTCGTAGCCCTCGGGCTACACTCTTATACCATTCCCTTTGTAAATCAAACATCAATGTTCAATCAATCAGAATCAATCCCTCGCAGAGTCTTTCCATAGTCATGCGGGGATTGACGCCAAGATAGCAAAGGCCCCCACTGATAGCGTTCGCAGACTCCTTCCACATAGGAAGAAGCTTACCAAAACTCCCAAAACAAAATTCCGAACAGTAGTCAGACAGTGGAGGCAATATCGGAGGATGCCCGGGGAGCTTCCTTGATTTCACTCTCACTCTCTCGGCTTGGACGGGAATCACTGAACGCAATGCTCAACTTGCGATAATCCCAGTTTCGAGCAAAGAACAAAACAGCAAAACTCAACACTGGAACGGTGAGTATATCGAGAACACCAAAGAAAATAAAACCACCAGTCACACCGATCCGGTTCCCACCATCAGTCAATCCAAATGCAATAGGATAAAGCAACCACAAGAGATTCAACCACCCCGAAAGCACCATATAGTCACGTTGAATCCCCAACAAAGCAGCAGCCTCACGGCTCTCATTGATAGTACTCATAGCAAGGATAAGCCATGAGAATGTACCAAAGGCGAAGAACCCCCACTTGTAGCTTGAGGGTGTAAATGCCGCCACGAGGTAACTGATAACCCAGATCCAGGATATAGCAATGTTGCAAACGATGGTGGTCCAAGACACGCCCGAGATTAGACCCATTGCTAGAGCAAGCGAAGGAAAGGCGACTACCCAGTTGATGTATTTGGCATAGAATATTTGGCGGATTACTCCGTTTCCGACGTTGTCGACTTGCTCGACAGCGCTCCAGCCTAGATTGGATGCCTGTGCGTAGTAGGTCATGGCGCCGACCATTAAGGCGCAAGTGAATAGGTAGTGGAAAACTCTTTCGCTTTCTTTTGCTGCGAAGGAGAGTACTAGGAGGCCGATCTGGAGATCGTATGTGTTAGGGGATAGAGCGGCTATAGTAAGAAATGAACTTACAAAGGAGACAATATAGATGGCTGTCACAGCCCATAGCCAGTCAGATCCATGTATAGAGAGTGCTTCATCAACCCCTGTTACGGGGTTGACTTGGAAAACATCGTTTGCTCGACCGATGAGACTCATTGTGCAGTTTACAAAATGACTTTGACAGCTTAATTCCACTGAGACGTTGAAAGAGGTTCTTGGAAATGATCAAGGAGGGTTGCTTGAGCATCAAAACGGAGAGATGTCGCCTCTTATAAGAACGGCCCCAACAACCATTAGAGCACAATATAACGTGATTCAAACATCGGAATTGTAGAGACCGAATATCCGATCCGGTTCAATACAACAGTGTTGATAGACCAGTGATGCTGTGCATACCTGGTAGGCCATTGTAGCTGGCATCTGGATCAGCCCGATGGGTGGAGCTTCTCGGGACAAAGTTGTTTGTAAGGCTTCGTTACAGTTGCCCCTAAACAAGGGACAATATAGATGAATAATCCAATACCAAACACCGTAACTTACTTAAATAGAGCTTATTGACGATCGGCAAGGAGCTCGGCGAATAGTTTATTGATGCAGCAACCGGATTGGCTGAGCCTCGAAACTTTTCCCCGAATCTATTTCTCCGAGCCTCAACGGATTTCGGGCATAACAACGGCGTCGGATAGACACGTTCCTTCGGGATTTGAAGGATCTTGGAAGGAATGAAGCCATCGTACACTACAGGCTAATGAAGCTAGTTTTGGAAACACGCAAGAGCGCCCATGACTGCTGGTTTTGTACATGTCTGAAAATAGGGTCCTCGAGGATTGGCACGAGCACACGAACAGTATCGTCATAACAGCTTTGAGGTTATACTTCCATATCACCATATTCAAAATATTTTCTAGATCACGATCCTATGAACTGGTCCGGAGTACTCCCCTGCACACTATTATTTAACATCTCAGTGGTTTTTGAAATGCACGACTTCGGTAACAGGTCGAGGTAACTTTTCTCATGATTATTGACATTCTTCAGCCGACGGAATATGTAAAACAACTCCTGGATTCTGAGTTGAAATGATTCACTAGTATGCATATTGGCGTAGAGGAACTCGGCACAGGAAAAGAGAGGGATGGGCATCAAGGGATGGATCTAGAGAGAATAATGTTAGTAGTATATCATAAACTCACTAGCCTATGTTACCTACCTTGGCAATAGGCAGTTCACACAGGGTTGTCGCCAGATGGATGATGGTAGTGGAAGCCTCTAACGCTCGATTTTGATAATCAGAGAATTCAGCATCCCCTTGCAGCGGGTTGGCAGATGCTGGCATTGACTCCATCATGGCTTTGCAGAAATAAATAACTGTAACTTGACCTAAGATATTGGCAAAAAGAAGAAGAGGATCGTAGGCCTTGATAGGTGATGGATAATATTGTGACAGAGCTTGGAGTCTCGTTGTAAGAAGACTATCCAACCAGCGCCGCTGCTCAGTCGAGTCCAGTAGCGTATCTCCGTATGCCTTGGAGATTTGATATTGTTGGATCTGAAGTAGAGTGCGACCACATATCGTAGCTAAGATGAGGCATTCGTTGAAGGATGAACCTAGTTTCAGAGTAGGCTGGGTCATGGCTTCGGATAAAAAGAGCCCAAGTTCATGGTTGCCGCTTTGGAAGTCTGAATCTAGAGCAGGCAGTCGGGTGCAGATCTGAAATCACCGGCAATGACAATACGTCAGTAAAATACCCACTAGCTCCCACTCACTTGAATTGAGGTATTGGCATCCTTACCACATGTTCATTTAAGGTGATAGGCCAGTCATCGCGCATGCTAATGACATGATCGAGGAAATAAGCCATCCAAAACACCCGGCGTCTCTCTTCGACTTGGATAAAGTCACCATTTCGGGGAGAGGACGGGCCTCCCTTGTCAGTGGGTCTGTCAATCTCATGATAGCGCATAGCCTGCACCAGGCGGAATGCCCGACCGGCACTCATCCAAGCCTGCCGATGGTGAGTTCGCATAGATTCAAATATCACGACAAGAACCCATGCCTGAGCAAGTTCTGTGTTGACGTTGTAGTCGTTGCCTTCGATACTAATGGACTCGAGTGTCTGTTTTGTCTTCTGGTAGAGTGGCTCTATCATCTCGCGGAACTGAGCTGACAGCAGCGAGGCCAAAGCCCACATGGCGTTTTGCAGACATTTCTGCGATGGTGCTTTTGAGCTGGATTTAGACCATGATAGGTACCGTCGTTGGTTAATGATCGGTATTGACTGGTGCACACGATCCAAGTAGAGTTGGTCTCTGGAGAGGATATGTTAGCCATGTACCCTGCTTTTTGCCGCAATAGAAGCGTGCGAAGAACTCTCAAGTTGTGTTTACAATTCATCATGCAGGAAGTCCGTGGGCGGAAACTGAGTGTTTGAAACTGTCAAAGCAGGCGGGAATGACCATTCAAGCGAGGAAGAAACCAAGTCCGAGGTGTGGCCATCGAACAACGCTGCGCGCCCTGATTGCGAGAGATTTGTAGGCTCTTGTGGCCATTCACCAGCGGCGTGAAGCCCGGAATCTGCCAAAACACCGGGCGAAGCAGGGATTATCGGGTCGCTGCTGTGTTGAGATCCCTGGAGATCCCGTTGAAGCTGCTGATCTGGGAGGCGACTTTCCAACATCGCCTCTAGGTGCACGACTCGGTTCTTTAAGGCTTTCAAGTGGCCCTTTTTGGGGCCTCGGGCTCCGCGATGTGTCACTTCACATGAAATCCCTGTTTCTCGACAAATCCCACATTGAGGTTGTTGTCCATCGCAGCGCAGCTTACGCCGCCGGCACTCATCACACGCGGGACCAGAGCGCTGCCGCCGTGTCGCACCAGGAATCGAGCTTTCTTCTGCATCTTTGGATGACATGACTGGTTTGTCTGTTGCGATGGAGAACCTGGGGGATTGGGGGCCGTTCCAGGACAGGAGGGGCCAACCTCACCGCGCTTTGTCTGCCTAATCTCAGACATGTCACAACAATTTTCCAGCAAGCACTTCAAAATATATATTTTGGAAATCTTCATCGGCATTTAACTTTCTCCTCTTGTAAACTCTCCATTCTACTGGTATCAGATCTTATCGGTCTCTTATATTGGCTGGTCTTTGATTTATCTATGAATCAGCTCCCCATCGTAAGAGACGTGGGTACTACTAGCCATGGCTTGAGGGAGGATGAACCGCAATATAACGCAAATGTCCTGCGTACCAGACGAGGCGAAATGAAGATGCGGTTGATTCTGGTGGCCTTGTGACAGGTCCGGGGTATCAGAAGCGATGGAATAGAATGGCTAGGCAAGCCAGAGCCGGTATGAGAATGTTTGTGCCTATGGAAAGTCCTTGATGGGCCAAATCATCTCCGTGCTGAGATCAGGGAGATACGACAGCAGGAACTTTGGGTTGTCAAAAGGGAATATACTCATAGCAACGGCGAGACCAGGCACCACGCTGGGTTTCCCCTTGTCCAGGAATCTTATTTGATCACCATTTGGGTAGACGGCATCGACTGGTACAAGAATCAGTTGCTTGGACGTCGACCCCAAACAGAGTCTTTGGGTTTTTGACTTTAACTCTCCTCTGTGCATCGGAGAGGTGATAGGAGGATCTCTGTATATTAGTGGAAACCTGGTTATCTTACCCGGTACAAAGCGTCTTCGTCCCTTGACAGTGACAAATATAGCGTTGTCGCGTGGAGACTTCACCACGAGACACGAGACATCAAGAAACCTACTCCATGTGTTTGCCATTGCGAATGGGTAAAGGCCCTCTGGCGTTCCCTGCTGGAGAGCAACAGCCCGTAGGAAAACTCGGCCTACCTTTCCAACCCCTGTTTCATACCCGGTATTGAGTTGAGGGCGATATACCATCAGAGTGCATCGCGTGCCGGCATATAGAGATTGAGCTGGTACCCCTTGTCAGTACGCATCGGCCCCATAGAGAAGCCACGGTACAAAATTAACCGTGTCCTTAATGACGGCAAATGGGGATGAGGGTGATGAAATCCGTTTGGCAAGCATGTTTAGGAGTTAAGCAGGGTGTTTCGTCGGTTTCTCGTCGGTACGTGGCCTAAAAGAGCGTCGTTGAAATAGTGTCGAGGGGGTTAGATGGTGGGCTCTGCCAATTCAGCGTGTTAGTTACATTTCACTCACAGAGTTGGACCTCAAGATGACGCACGGAGAGGTGTACGTACTTGGGAATGTAGGAACAATGGAAACTGGGATAGGAAACACGCACTGGGAGTATGGCATTGTTGAAGGATAGCAGCCAGTCAATCGTGTCAGGATTTGACGGCTTCACCCGAGAACACACTGCGAGCAAACTTCATGGAAGTCCTTTGCACTGAGTGCAACTAAGCGAGCTTTGTTGTTCCTTGGCCTCTTCTTTAACGATTCATCGGCGGACTGTGTCAGCGTCACCGGTGCTTCCACCGTCCGCGTTCCAATCTTTGTACGGGCGAATTGGGAGCTGAGTCAAGAGAGTCAAGATATCCCATATTGAGGGCTGAACGACAACATCTGAGGAACGGATCGGTTTCATTCTCGTGGTGGAAATCTAAGAATCACACAAGTCAGTGCTGTCAGTTCTCGTCTGATGTTAGCCCTGACCTGTTAGCTGGCACACTGGCCAAGTGAATCGCCAAGAATATTCCTGTTTGATCATAAATCCGTGAAAACGAAGAGCCTGTGACTCGCATTGTGCGAGTTTTTTGCCTGTCAAGGAATGCAGAAGACGCAGAGGGACCTCTTCTGTGCAAGGACAATTGAACTCATCATCCAAGCCATCTTCCCTTCAAGATCCTCTGCCAGTCAAAGACTACCAATTTGAGCACTCATCAACCCTCACCAAAGCCCAATCCCCAAACAACCACATAACCAAGCGCCTACCCTCCTACACAAACCAGAACAGACCCCAACCCTGACCCTGTAATCCAGGGCCGCCAGCATTCGCGTAAAACCCAATCTTCTAGCCACAAAACTCGCACCTCCCACTCCACCACATATGCAGGGGCTAACCTATCAAGCCCACGACACAATTTCCCACCTCTTGGCAACCTAAGAAGCGCTTACAACAAGTATGGGGCATCGAAAGCCCACCCACCAACATGACGTTTACGCTTACGCAACCTCTCGAAAGCTGGGGACGCTAATCAACAGCATGGTGCATGAATGCATACCTATACATTATCCAAAAGCTTAGTGAACCGATGCCGATCTGTTGAAAGGGGAAGGAAGGAGGAGGGGGAGCTGAAACTGTGTTTATTCTTGTCTACGTACAAAAGCTAAAAAGGGGGTATACGTATACTACGTATAAGTTACTACGTACACTAGAGGGGTAGGAGTAGGAGTCGGGAGCTGTAAGACGTCCGTGTGGTCGGGCCATTGATTCGACGTATGCATTGACCACGTTCAGAGCGCATACACTGTACGGGAGCATAGCTCAAGCCTTGGACTAACGTGGAGATCCATTGGCACCCGCATTTACTACTGTACACATCACGGCTGAATCCGCATCTGCGTCTGCAGGTACGTCCTCGTCCACGTCTCAGCCACGGGATCAAGATAACCTTACATGTAAGGGTACGAATACACCCTCCACTCCGCCCCTCCTTCCGAGGGACCCTTCACCCCATCCAGTAGGTCAAGTCCCTAGCAGAAGAATCGGGAAACCTGCGTATGTCCGCGAGTGGCCTGATACCGATATATCAATAGTTCGGTGGGGGAGGAGAGAAGTGTCGGGTCCAGAATGTTGTGTGCAAAAAGAAAAATTACAGTAAGTATTTAATATTTCCGCTCCACTATGGAAGCGATAACGAAGGTGTATGATATGCAAGCGTGAAACTTTGATAACTGGAGTCTTATTTTTCTGGGTTTGGGGCAATATGTGGCTATATTACGTGCTTGGCAAGCCTGGAGGATTTTATTTGCTGGCTTTTGCTTAACGTGTGGCTATTTGCGAGGATTCGCCGATGCTATTCCTCAGGTCTGTAATGTAGCGATTACAGATATGCTTATGTCGGGATCTTGGAATTCAATGTTGCACATCTTTCCCTAAGGGACCGGGATCGGCTAACTTTTGTCAATCCATGGATCATAAAAATTATGAAGTTACGAGAGAAACGGCATTCAGGGACCGTTCCACGTGGGATGACTCAGCTCGGCGTCGGTTTGCCCGCTTAATCACCAGACCCCGTTCCACGGGTTATCTTTTAGTTTCTCTCGGCGGGCATGGATGTGCACTTTTCTTACTGTTACAATTTACATACATGTATCTTCAATATCTCATGTTATGTCCAAAGAAGCAGAACTCCCGAATTTCAAAATAGATCAATAGTGCGAAAGTCAGACAAGAGCCACAGGGTCTTAGTGAGATGGGGCCCAAGAGATCTGTATTCCGTATTGGGCGAAGCGAGGGCCCCACGGCTTAGGGGGGAAGATAATAAATTGTCGGAAGGATGTCTGCCGGATCGTCTCTATGGACTTGCATAAGTGCCGAAGCCGTATAAGAGCATTGACACCTTTGATTTCTGGAAATCAGGCAGCAGTTTGGCGCAAACTGGGGCTGTGGCTGTGGCTGTGTGTTTACAGTCGAAGAGCGAGATGATGGTGGTGTGCGGGGACTGGGTGGGGAATAAAGTGTGGTTTTTTTCCCTTGTTATCGGATGATCCGGAAATAACATCATCGCATTATGACCTGTAATATGTGGAGCTGTCAAGAGAGATACTCCATACATGGACTGCTGGACCGAGACTATTGAATGGCTATTTTTGATTAGAGAACACGAATTCCAAAAGATAAATCGCCGAAACAAATGCGAGAGTTCGGGTTTAAGCCACGATAAAAGGCCGCGTGGGCAAGTAGTGGCGGGTGCAGTAGTAAATTAGGGTCTCCATGACGCTAGGCGGGAACCGTGATTAGGGCAAAGCTATACAGGTAACTGACGCCCAGCTAGTCCCATCCGAGTAAGCGTAGGGGAGTGTCCACGAGTCCCTGCGTCTAGAGTGTAAGCAATACGACACCGAAAAAAGGTAAAAAGGACAAAAAGGGTCAAGGGTCCTTGCAGGAACGTAAGCCGGGTACAGGGCCCTGACGAGTCAAGCTTCTGGCGTAAGCTGGGAGGTAGAACGAGAAGGGTTAATTCGAGCGCTAAAACACTAGCCCACCTCAAGCACGGAAGTGTATTTGCTGGAGAAGGACTAGACAGCCAAACTACCGTGGATATACGTAGGCTGCATACGTATGCCCCGTCTAAGATTGAGCTTAGGCAAATCATCGCTCGGCTCAAGAAGCCCCAAAACGGTCCGCGTTCTGCCACGAACCACAACCCCCTCGGGCATGTTCCAGATCGGAGGTTTGAAGCTTGGCCTGATCTACCAAAAAAATTCTAAAAAAATAAAATAAATACGCAGAACACGTATACGCAGAAAGTAATGGTTGATTTTAATCTCCTAATGGAGTTTACCCGGTTCACAATCTGAGTAGCCCTGGATGTTTACGAATAACTTCTTTGAAGCCATACAGTAAGACCATACTATGCGTCGCCATCTTACGTACGTTCAGCGGAGAGTCCCCGCGCGAATGGTTTTCGGGGCGGGGCGGGCGCTGGACGCGTACGAGTACGAAGTGTAGCACGAGCCAATCTCTTGCTATAGTTAAATGACGGTCTTTAGAAGACTAGATTATCTTATTGGCGTGGAGGTTAGATGCCATTATGTTTAGTTGTTCAATCTACAACATGTATGTAGGCCTAACATGATCGGACTCCGCAGAACGGAGAAAATTTCAACAGAAACTCGGCTGAGAGTACCCTTTCCAGAGAGAAAAGGGCAGAGCTCTAGGGATTTTTTTCCGTCACCGAGCTGTAGGGCGAGATCGCCGTAGGGCGCTAAATACAGCTAAAAGTGTTACCATACATTACGCCCCCGCCCAGGAATGTCCGAGCCGGAGGTGGATTCCCAAACAGGAGTCAACATCATCACTTACGTAGATTCTTTCTTACCGTATTTTAGTTTACTTATTCTATTTTATTAAACATGGTACTATTTACTTTTGCAGAGAAGAACAACTGATATGGGGCTAAATGCATGTCCGTCCCGAGATAAAAGGCCCGTAGTTCTGCCGATGGTGGAGCTTTTGTTTCGCATCGACCAACCGAAGCCCTAGTGCGAGTCGGAGTTAACGCTCTCTTCCGGAACAACTTAAAAACTCACAAAAAAGAAAAAAGATCGACTCCGCCAGGGTCGCGGGCCGGAAGAAACGGAGTAAGAAAATGGGTCTGCACAGGGTCCTGTATTATATTTGTCTGCCTATAATATTGGTTTTCTCCGCTATGGAGCCTCGCCAGACCCTGGAGCTTGGCTTCTTTCGCTTTATTTTAGTATAATTAGTTCAGATAACCATATGCTTGGTCTCTTTTTTTTCTTCTCTCATTTCTTACTTTTGTATTCTCATTTCGTTCCCACCTTTAACCTACTTTTTTGTTATCTTCCCCTCCTTATCTCACTTACCTCTCCTTCTCTTACGCGCAGAGCGCCTGGATATTCCTGAGCATTTTGGTATTTCAGCATTTCTCGGGAAGAACTATTGCGGTTTGACAACCGGACATCTTCTGCAACATTCCCAGCCCAGTTTGCAACTGCCGTTGAGGATTGTGTTCCGCACACCAATTGCAGTATTAGAAGGAAAGCAAGACCGCCTCAAGGGAATAAACTTAGGCGCCGAAGAAATCCAGATCGTTGCGAGGGCATTTGCCAGATCATTCCGACTACTCCATCAACCGTCTATACTTCGCCCTCAACACAGAACACGGCACGGGTTGGAGTCATCGGGCTTCTGTTTTGGTCTGCAGGCGAGTGCCGATTTAGGGTCTAATGTTGTCGACGTGTTACACGACGGAGAGGACAAACATCTTTCGAGAGCCGCTGGTGCGTTTGCTGTCAGGAAAGAGATATACTCTCTCTCTCCTCCCTCTCTTTGTCTCCGATCTGTGATCTCTCGAGTTCTGTCGAGCATCCAGAGCCCGGCTGAGCCGGTTGCCAAACATCTAAACTAACGGATTGCGCCCTTTAGTATAGCTTTCCAGCCCCGGTGACCGCATATCGGGGCCCAGAGGAGATGTCAAGCTGCCGGACGAGTATTGTGTCCATCCTCAACAATGATGATAACCCATCTTTTGCGGTCCGCTCTGCGCCCCAACTCAGTCGGACTCAGATCTCGCCATCCTATTATCCAGAGCAGCAACCCCCGCCCGTCAGCGAACCGCAGCACACCCGTCCGCATGCTGCATCCGAATCTCCAGCGGCCTCACCCCGAGGCATCAGGCACCCTTTCGCCCCGGTGACCGAAGCCGTCCAGCCCGTCTCGCCCGGCTCATCCGACGGCTCCGCCTACGACTACATCACCAGTCAATCTTCAGCTTACCACCCGTATGCCCGGCAGGATCCGCGACGGGAACCGTATCGCTTCCCAGCGCGCGGACCAGCAGCTCCCCGGACGACCCCCGAAACGCGGTCCAGCGCTTCAGAAACGACATCGTCTCAGCCCGGAGCGGGTCGCGCCACAGGCCGAAAGAACAAGTATCCCTGCCCCTATGCAGCTAGCCACGGCTGCGCAGCGACATTCACGACGTCTGGCCACGCTGCTCGCCATGGCAAGAAGCACACCGGCGAGAAGAGCGTCCACTGCCCGATCTGTAACAAGGCCTTCACTCGAAAAGATAATATGAAGCAGCACATTCGCACCCACCGCACGCACTCGGATGAAATGCGATCCACATCTGAACCGGAGAATGATGCTCGCTGGGGCATGCCCCATTCTGATTCTACACTTGCTTCGGCTGCTTCACACCAGCGGAATCTTAGCCAACCCATGGAGGCTACTACAAGGTCTCCTCCAGATTCTTCTTCACAATAACCTTCATAAGTGAGACTATCTCTGCCTCCGACTCTCCCACTCCTCGCTCTACTATACGACCGTTTTTCTCAGACAGTTCCTTGTACCTGACTGCAGTGCAGTGTACATTGCAATCTGTCTCACTACCCAGGGTAGTAATTGTTTTCGATTCAGGGCTCTCGAACATGCATTTTCGGCTTCAGCGACCATCTGCATGACCCATCACCGGACGTTTCAGAATATCCGACGAAACGTCTCGGGTTACAACACATGTTTTGAAATTCTATTTTTCTTCTATCTTTCTATTTTTGTGTTCCTTTTACCATTTACCATTTACTACTTTTTGGTTCATTTTGCCTATCTGTTTTATATCCCTCCTGTACCATGTTCTGATTGCTTCCTCGTGTTATGCGTGATGTTTGAAATTGCCTCCCTAGGCTATGTGTTCCAGTCTCATTTGTACTATCCTTTCCAGGATCCCCATGAAATCAAATGATACGTGTGTAACCTGTTCCGGCTGCACTATATGACATCCTTGGTCTTGTGTTGGTGAGATTGTTAAGCCACTGGGGTCCTGGGGAATGGTGTACTACTCTGGGAGGGAAAATTTGACGTAGATAAGCGTGGAGGAAGAATGGTTTGCTTTGTTTATTCTACATAGCCATTCTACATAGCTTTGATCTAGGTTCAGAGTATTTTTAGTATAAGCTTAACTCTGAATTAATAGTGGAGATGGTTCTTTTGTCTATGATGAAAGTTGATGCCTGACTGCCTGAGAACGGTAAAAGACCCGTGGAACCAGTGTTTACCTTCAAGTATAACATTGAAATCTTAAATCGAACATCTCATACTTCTCTTAAAACTCATTCCCAGACCAGCGGTCAGTTGGAGTCTACGTGTAGGGCTGTCATATTCCCTGCTCCTTACCCAATGCGAGATGACGTCGAGCGATATTTGAAACACAATCGATATGCTCATTCGATGGAACAAGTATTTCCTTCGAACATTCCACCACTCCTGACAATAACCCACAGACGTCATATAGGAACAGTCAAAATATATAATCTAACCACGTTACTTTCACTATTGCACTTCGTACTTTCACCCACATTTGTACGAAAACTACAACCCTCAGCCACTGCCAAGTCCCCCAGCCCCAACATCGTTCATCTGAATCGACGTCACGCCACCTGCCCCGCCAATATCTCTTAGCCCTACGCCCTACTCCAGTCTCTCTCTTCACCATATCTCGTCCTAGTGAACAGTAGCAGCTCACACCATCGACACCCTTTTCATTCCATTTTGTCGTCCTTTCCTTTCATCCTCGCCGCAACATGGCGTACTACGAGGATCGCCGATACGCACCGCGCGACCGCTACAGCCGCCCAGCCACCTATGTTGATCCATACGATGATCCGAGAGGCCATTATGCAAGGCACGATCGTGACCCCTACAGACGCCGAGTCAGCGATGATTCTATCGCGCAAGTGCAGCGCGATTACCCCCCAGACTCAGATTATGTCTATGAGCGTGGTTACACATCCCGTCGGCCCAGGGCTTCGCGACCCGTCTACGAAAATGTGCGACGTGCTTCCTCCGTCAGCGGTTACGATCCTCACTACGATGCTGCTTACTCTCGCTCATCCCGTCCTCGACGGTCAAGACATTATGAGGACAAACGTATGTGACATCCCATAGCTGATTTTCATCTGAGGATACATTCTAACTCTTCGCTCAGGCTCTCGTCGGTCCAAGTATGATTCTGATTCTTCTCCAAGTCGCTCTCCGCCCCGCCATGGCCGTCGCAAGTCTTTCAGCGAACAGGCTCTGGGCGCACTAGGTCTCGGCGGTGCTGCTGCATCGGCCAGCCGGGGACGTTCCAAGTCTCGCCATCGCAACCGGTCCTATTCTCGATCGCCGTCTGATTCACGCAGTCGCAGTCGCCATCGTGGCAGTGGTCGCGGTGGCCGTGAGCGCAGCGAGCAGCGCATTGCTCAGGCTGCTCGTGCCGCGCTGACCGCTGGTGCCATCGAAGCCTTCAAGCAGCGCAAAGAGCCAGGTGATTGGGCTGGTGCAAAGGGAAAACGAATCCTTACGGCTGCTGTCGCCGCTGGTGGCACTGATGGTCTTGTCGATAAGGATCCCAACAAGCACAGCACACGCCATGTTGTGGAGTCTACCCTTGCTGGTCTCGCTGCTAGTCATTTCGTTGGCGGCGGATCACGCTCACGCTCCCGCGGTCGAAACAGTCGCGGCGGCTCGGGCGGTGGTCTCAAGGACCTCGCTGCGAGTGGAGCCCTTGCTGCTGCTGGAAAGGAAGTCTTTGATCGATTTTCGCGATCTCGGTCTCGGCCTCGCGGTCGTTCTGATTCCCGCAGTGATGATGAGCGTGGCTCTAAGAAACGCAGTAAGAGCGTGTCGGAGTACATCAGCAAGGGCATGGCCGCCCTTGGACTTGGAGAAGAAGAAAGGAGCAAGGACAGCAGAGACAGAAGAGACAGAGACCACCATCGGGACCACAGAGATAGCAGGGACCGGCGTCATCGCCGCGATACCCGGCACGACGATTACTCGGATTCAGATGCAGACAGCGATTATTACAGCCGGGACTCGAGACGGGGCAGAGGCTCGAGAGATGTAGGTCGGCACCGTTCTTTGGACGGAAAATATCCCCCTTATGCACCCCTTAGCGCACCGCGCGGCGAGAACGGAGCCCAATCTAAGGATTGCGGCCACCACTCAAACTCTGAGAGTGATTCTGACCTAGGTGACAGTTCTGATGAGAAGAAGCAACGCAAGAAGCTGAAGCGGGATATGCTACTGACCTCGGGCTTGGCTAGTGTGGCTACCATCCACGCTGCCCACGGTCTGTACGGTAGTATGGAGAAGAGGAAGAAACGCATGCACCAGTTGAAGGAGGGAGAGATCACACCCGAAGAGGCCCGCAAACGCCGCATCAAAGCTAACTCGCTGGACGCTGTGAGCATTGGTCTTGCTGCCCTCGGTATCAAGGGCGCCTATAGTGAATGGAAGGAAGTCAACGAGAAGCGCAAGGAGAATCATCATTACCAGGAAGAGTGTGCCCAACGTGCTATCAAGCGTGAGCGGCGCCGTGCTCGCAGTCAAGGCAATGGCCCTTCCCGAAAGACCCGCTGGCCTGATGAGATTGAATATGCACCATCGACAAACGACTCCTTCGACCGAACACCAGTTTATCATGATGGCAATCCTTATGGGGTTTCGGAGGCTCCGCAGATTTCTTACTAGTTTTGTTTTTCTGTCTTAACCTTTCATTTTCCTTTCATCATATGATTTCCTCTTTCATGATTTATGAGACCATGCCTTTATTTGATTTTAATCTTTTTCATCGTGTTTCCAAGGCTAGATCAGTCTGATGGGTTGATTCTTCAGCGTTTGTGACGACCATGGCCGGCTGCTCCATATGATTGCTTGTACCTACAACTGGATTCAACACTTCCCGTCTCGGGATCTGCTTGCAACTATCGAATATCCCGCATATACATATCTGCATGTAGATGTAGAGAGGCAATACTGTACATAAGCCGGTAGGTGATTGGACTCAGCAGCTGCCGATAACAGGCTGACTCAGCAGGGACCCCGCTATCAGTCAGCCCACCACGGATCCTGTGAGGTACCGATACTTGCACGTGCTAGTTTTATTGTACCACGAACTCTGTACCAGTACTTCCTTGGCGATCCTAGACTAACGGAGAGTTTTCCCCTCCCTCCTTTTCTTTCCTCCTCTTCCTCTTTCCTCCACCAATTCTCTCCATACCCTTTTTCTTGGTTCGTACTTCTCTATATAAATCTGGCTGTTTCTCACTAACGTTCACCAGTTCTTTACATACCTTCATAATGGCTGCCCCCGCACAGAAGTTCAAGGTCGCTGACCTCGTACGTCCTCTCGATCCGTCTCAACATGCTCAATCATTGACCTCCTTTACAGTCCCTGGCCGCTTTCGGTCGCCGCGAGATCGAGCTCTCCGAGGTTGAGATGCCCGGTCTCATGGCCATCCGTGAGAAGTACGGTGCCGACCAGCCCCTCAAGGGTGCCCGTATTGCTGGTTGTCTTCACATGAGTATGTGATCAGTCTTACAAACAACATTGGCCTTTTTACTAACGATAATACAGCCATCCAGACCGCTGTCCTCATCGAGACCCTCACTCACCTCGGTGCTGAGGTCACCTGGACTTCCTGCAACATCTTCTCCACCCAGGACCACGCCGCCGCTGCCATTGCTGCTGCCGGTGTCCCTGTGTAAGTTTCAATCGTGCCAGTTTTGCTTTTGTGGACCCTGCTGACCGCTCTTTGTTTACAGCTTCGCCTGGAAGGGTGAGACCGAGGAGGAGTACCAGTGGTGTCTCGACCAGCAGCTCCAGGCCTTCAAGGATGGCAAGAAGCTGAACCTCATCCTCGATGACGGTGGTGACCTCACCTCCCTCGTCCACACCAAGTACCCCGAGATGCTCGATGACTGCTTCGGTGTCTCCGAGGAGACCACCACCGGTGTCCACCACCTCTACAAGATGCTCAAGGAGAACAAGCTCAAGGTTCCCGCCATCAACGTTAACGACTGTGTCACCAAGTCCAAGTTCGACAACCTCTACGGTTGCCGTGAGTCCCTCATCGACGGTATTAAGCGTGCCACCGATGTCATGATCGCTGGTAAGATCGCTGTCGTTGCCGGATACGGTGATGTCGGTAAGGGTTGTGCCCAGGCTCTCCACTCCATGGGCGCCCGTGTCATTGTCACCGAGGTCGACCCCATCAACGCCCTGCAAGCTGCTGTCCAGGGCTTCGAGGTCAACACCATGGAGGCTGTTGCCCCCATTGGTCAGATCTTCGTCACCACCACTGGCTGCCGTGACATCCTTGTCGGCTCTCACTTCGAGGCCATGCGCAACGACGCCATTGTCTGCAACATTGGTCACTTCGACATTGAGATCGACGTTGCCTGGCTCAAGGCCAACGCTCAGTCCGTCCAGAACATCAAGCCCCAGGTTGACCGCTACCAGCTGAACGGCAAGAACATCATCCTCCTCGCTGAGGGTCGTCTTGTCAACCTCGGCTGTGCCACCGGCCACTCTTCCTTCGTCATGTCCTGCTCCTTCTCCAACCAGGTCCTGGCCCAGATTGCTCTGTTCAAGGCTGAGGATGTTCAGTTCGGCAACAAGTACATCGAGTTCGGTGCCGCTGGCCGCAAGCCCATTGGTGTCTACGTTCTGCCCAAGCAGCTCGACGAGCAGGTCGCTCGCTGCCACTTGGACCACGTCAACGCCAAGCTGACCCAGCTCACCCCCGTCCAGGCTGAGTACCTCAGCCTCGACGTCGAGGGTCCCTTCAAGAGCGAGATCTACCGCTACTAAGCTACTAATTGCGCTCTCTTTTCCAATTGCGTTCGATATTCAATGAGTTTCTTGGGATATAGACTTTCAACATGATTCGACGATGTTATGATTGGCATTCGGGTTCTCTATCAACTTAGAACTCAAAAGTGGTTGTCCTTCAACGGCATAAAAAGTGGCCTGCACCGGTGGTGTGTTTTCTAATGTTTTGTTTTGGCGTGGGATGACCTGGGATGGTCTTGCATTCAACACTGCGTACGGATGGGATTTGACTCTTGATACCTTATTCTGTGTGGGCCTCCATGGGCCGATTGTGACTGTGTAGACCTTCAACAATCGAAGCTATGCGTCAGTACTTCGCAATGTGTAGGCACCTTGTAGATCTTTTTGTAATCTTTCCTACCGACTAAGTGCCAACTATCCATTGGCTATCAATGTAACTCACTCCCCCCGGATCAATTTGACCAGCTCACCAGCTACAGCAACTGCAAACTCGGGATCATTGATTGCACGAGAGTCTCGCACCACGGAGATCCCACTCCCCTTCAACTCCTCCTCCAACGTCGAAAACAACACCTCATCAACCTCAGGATCCCAAAACGGTCCCCCAGGAACATCAAGCATACTAACCCCCCCAACAGGCAAAACAACTCGCGTCCTCCACCTTTGGGAAGCACCATTTCCACCCCCCTTCAAATTCCTCGCAATAACCCTCCCAATATCAGCACACTCCTGCCCCGTAGTCCGCATAAGCGTAACAGTCTCATTGTGCTCATGAAACAACCTCCCCTTCCCACCATCCATCTTCATCTCCCGAAAAGAGCGAGGAACACTCTCCACGCCCCCAAAATTAACCATATCACAAGCACCCACACTGACAACCCTCGGAATCCCCCGCTCAGTGGCTGCATACAATCTCTCCGGTCCGGCACTCAAGACCCCACCAACGACCTCATCTGCTATCTCCGTCGTTGTCAAATCAAGAACTGCATCGATCCTCCCTTCCCGAATTAACCGCTCCATGGCTCGACCTCCAGAGCCTGTAGCATGGAACACGTAAACTTCGCAATTTGGAAGAATCGTCTCAAGATATTGGCGCGCATGCGTAACAGCCGGTGTCGTCACGCCGAACATTGATATTGCAATTTGAGTGGAACGGGCTTTTCCAGTATGGCCCTCACTTCCAGTCCCCGTCTCCTTCTTCTCCTGTTCCCGTTCCAACAAGGCCCTCTCCAAAAACCCAACCCCCATCCCAGCAATCGCACATGCCGCGTTCCCTAAAACAGTCTCAAGAACTCGATTCGTGCCGGCAATATCAACAACACTGTACATCATAGTAATATCCGTTTCACCAATGTAAGGCGCCACGTCGCCCGATGCCATTGTTGACACCATCAACTTCGGGAATCCTACTGGTAAGGCGTCGCGCATGACGGCTGTTGAGAGTGCTGTACCGCAGGACCCTCCTATGGATAGGATGCCGTGGATGGTCTTTGATTCGTAGAGGGCTTTTGTGGTGGATGTGGCGTGTGGTGTTAGGGTTTTTATGTATTCTGCCCTGGGGAGGCATGAGAGGTCTGTGTTAGTGTTGGTGTTGGAGAGGAGTTCTTTTTGGGTTGTTGTTATTGATTCGTGGGTTGTTTGGGTGCGGCCGATGTCCATTAGGTGGACTTTTATTTTTTGGTTTGAGTGCGGGTCGGTTTGGGATTCTATGGCGGCTTTTGTGTAGAGGAGTTCTGGGAGTTTGGTGTCGCATGTTCCTAGGAGGAGGATTGTTGGGGTTGTGGAGGACATTGCGATGTTTTTGTGGAGGGGTTGGGTTACTGGGTTGGATTTGAAGATGCTGAAGGATGAATGAATGCTGAAGGTTGAAATGAGGTTGAGAAGTGAAGTTCAGAAGTAGTTGGTGGGGGGCGTAGATATCAGTGTGGGGTAAGCGGGTATGTGTCGTCACAGATCTGCGTTGTATAAAATTGTTTACACTGCGTTTGTTGATCTTTCTCTTATTGTAGCTCTGATAGCCATTTTTGCTCAAGAAGTATCTCATAACATGATATATCCTTATTTGACTTTTGCCACTCTTCTCTTCTCATCGACTTGGGCTACCCATGTCAATGTCTAAATATAAGCTAGAATCAAATAGAAAAGTATATAATCTACTAATACATGGGTTTCCTGAGTAAATAATATATTGAATACTCAAAAGATACTAGCAAAACTCACATAAATAAGCTGTCACGAGTAGGTCACGAGTCTAGGCATGCTTGTACTGTTTATAATAACCGCAGTTGACCAAAACCAAAAAGTGCTCTCTTGAGAAGAACCCCAATATCATGATAGGAAAGTTTAACAAAGTTAAGTGAATAGACATAGCAAATTTGGCTCAAATATTTCGACAATCAAATTTTCGTAAAGCGATTGCACCAAATAGTAGTGACTAGGAATTTCAGAGACCCAATCCAATCAGCAGCACCCTCGCAGCAGTATTTAAGCCTAGCTCAGACTCTACCATGTCCAACGTCTTCATTATATCCTCATGGAGGAGTTCCAAAACACTGGCAACATACTCAAATGTTCCTGCTGATTCCATTGCATCAAGGATGTAGTGTTTCAGTTTTGGGCAAAGATCTGTCGTTGACCCAGGCTGACGATGGAATAATGCCGTAGTCACACGCTCTGGATAGGGTGTATGATTTAATAGATGAATCAAAAGGAGAGAGAACTTGCCCTCCGAGAGGTCCTCGCAGAAACCTTTTTGGGTTGTATACTATATGTTCTTAATTAGCATTGTATCCTCAGACGAGGCAAAGACATGAACAGAGACATACCTCTTGAGAAGTGAGATTCTTATAATCATCCCGTATCTGGTAATATCTACCTGTTAGGGTCAAAAGCTTTG